TTTTTCTATTTTGTCATTGAGCCTTCTGTTTTTGAATGCGGTTACTTTATAAGAGAAAAACGAACGCTTATAATTGATTTTTCAGACTTTGTTTATGATCAAACCTCTTGTAGTGATCTTAGGAATATCTTCCCTCATACATCTAATTCGCTTTGTTTTTATCGAATGATTGTATAATAAATTTGTCCATTTTCGGTATTTATTCATATTATTGTATAATATATTTACATTCACAATATTCTTAGTTAGCTAAAGCACATATATGTAAAGAATATTCTTACTCGCAATTACTTGTTCCAACTTTTATATTTATGCTCATATCGGTCCATCCAAAAATTTATTCATTTTGATACTCAACAAACAAGTCGTTTGATTCTTTCAATGAGATCAGTCCCAAAACTGTATATGCCCAAATCGGGTTTAATTATCATAATATCATGGACCATATCTGTTTTAATTACTCTACTATACTCTACTTTTCACATTTCTTTTCTTCGTCACTCATACTGATCTCTTGCAACTTAGATCATTCTTCTAATTGGTTTTCCTTGTCAGGTTAAATTTATCCCTAATCATTTGCTTTAATCTTAAGACATTTCTCTAGCCATATGACTCAATAGCGGCTTCGCTAAGAGACAATTCGATTATGGCTATATATATTTATATATTTATATCCATATATCTGTTTGTGTGACAATCCTACTCAATCCCCTTTTTCATCGCCATTGAAGCATCGTTTCTCCCTGTCTGAGGTGCGATACCACAAGTGGCTCTCTCGCCCACCTGCACAACCACCAACGCACACCATCGCACGAGCTCGTACCAGGGAATGGCTTCGCCTTGACTCTGCTTCCAATACTGCGCACACAAGCCAGTCCGAGCTGCTGAGCCACTCTGAATCGACTTCAGTGTCTCGCCTCCCAAATGCTACTCTCAGATTGTGTCAGTCGCGAGCACAAAGGCATTTGCAGCTTCACGCCTCCACTGTCTCTAAAGTCGGGACTGATCAAGCCGTCAGTCATGACCATGAAACCACCAGTGTGAACCCACTTGGATCACTATTGGTTTCTTCCTCAGCTTTTTCACCGCCAATATCACAATCATCCTCTGAACAATCACCTAAGAGTGTTAACCCGCGTTCTGTGGGTCTCATAGCTTCTGACAATGAGGTGACTTTCTCATAATCTGGTGTTAAATTGTTTTCTTTTAGAAACGTTTATCTTGAAATATCAAGGATAATTCATTATTATTGTCCACGTTTATATCCTATTTTGAGGTAAAATTTGTTACCCCGATTGTAGCTGCGATCAGACCGTTCTTTTAACTCAAGTAAATTTTATTTAGATTTTATCAAGGCCTTTTATTTCCTCTCCTATTTCCTCAAATTATATCTTATAAGAATGCTATTGTCTCAGAATGTATCTCAGACTAAGAACTATTGAGTTAAATATGAGGGACCTTCATTGTTATATTTGTAAATAAGTACTTTTATTTTCATTTATAATAAAGTAAAAAGAATACATTTGATAGAATCATCAAATTTTCTTGCCCCAACATTATACTAAGTGTAAATCAATGGCACTTGGGGCCTTTGCTTCCAAAAGCCCTTTGTTAGTAATCACGATTCTTAGGCAAGGTTGAAAATGCGGTCCACTTGCTCATATGTTAGGTTGAAATCAAGAATTTTCTTTACTTTACCGCAAGTGACATCTAATTTTTTAAATGCAGTTTCGAGGTATTCGCTTAGACCTTGTTTTCATAACTATCATATTCATGGTGGATTTTGAATAGTTTAGGTTAACTTAGTATCATTTGGCTATCTAGTCGTTTGGATCCTATTTGATTATCCCTTTCGTCCCATTATGCTTTTTTGATCTGCCTGATTACAGAATCGAACAGGATATTGTTACTTTTTGCAAATAAATAAAAGAAAAAAAATCTGCTAACATAAGTCAGTTTAATCGAAGGTATGAAGACCAAGATGGTATGGCCTTTTGTGTGGTCGCAGTCTCCTTTCGTTGTATA